TATCTCCTGGAACAGAACAATGATGTCCTGAATAACTTAGCTTCTTTCTTTACGCTATGGCCCAGATCTATGATGATCCCTAACGGACTGCAACTGCAGAATCCACCCTGCGTGCTCTACAACAAGGTCGTAGGCCAGTAGAGGACTTTGTTGCAGAGTTCCGTAAATGGAGTGCGGATGCAGACTGGAATGAACACCCCAATTTCATTTTGGACTATCTGAAGGCCTTAAAGATGAGCTAACTGGGGTTGGAATTCCTGAATCCCTGGAGGAACTCATCCGATTGTCTATCCAGCTAGACCGGAGACTCAGAGAGAGAAGGGCAGAAAGATCTAACACTTTAAATTTCCTCTGGGTGACTCAACGAGTGCCTTCACCACCTATGCCATCGGCAACCCCAGACACACACCCAGCCACTGACCCAGAGCCTATGCAGATCGGCCATCTACGTGCTCCACTTTGTGACTAAGAAAAGTTTAGTAGACTCCAAAACAACTTATGCCTCTACTGCAGAGAGTCAGGTCATTATGCTCGCAACTGTCCTGTTCGACACAGTAAGTCTTCTCTCCCTACCTATGTTGCCAGTCTTTGCTCTGAGGACCGCACCAGTCATGTCTCCATATATTTCTCTCTGCAGATTTCTGGACAGAGAATCCAGGTCCAAGCCATCATTGATTCTGGGGCTTGTAGTTGTTTTATGGACTTTGCTCAACAACACCACATTCCTCTATGGGGCAATGCACAGTTTGTAACCATTCATTTGGCTGATGGCCAATACTTAAAATCCCGCCCCATAACCCAAGAGACTTGTCGCCTTCAAGCTCCGTGGACATCAAGAATACCCGTGCCTAGTTATCATTCTATCACCCTTGTTCCTGATTATTCTGGGTATTCCCTGGCTCCAGGCACACAATCTGCTGATAAACTGGCTATCTGGGGAGGTAGATTTCCCTTCTACATACTGCCAAAGACACTGCTTCCCATCTTCTTTAGGGAACTCACCTGCTCTCCTCGAAATCAACCCTGAACCTGCCACTGCTCAATATGTTCCACCAGAATACCAAAGCTACCTGGACTTCTTTCAGGCCTTTTTCACACCGAAAGCGTGTGCGTTCCAGATCGGTAGTTGCTGGAACGCACCGCGATCGCTAAGAAACTTCTCCCCGCGTTTTGGGGCGGGAGGGGGCGTGGCGGTGCATTGAATTCAATGGCACCGCTTCCACGCCCTACCCCCGTCCGCAGTGCGATCGATCGCGTGTCAAGACTTTGCCAGCGTTCCGTTCCACTGCAAACGCAAAAAATACGCTGGCAAAGTTTTCCCACGCGTTCGATTGCACTGCGGGCGGGGGTGGGGGGGTTTGGGGCGTGGAAGCAGTGCCATTGAATTCAATGCAGTGCCACGCCCCCTCCTGCCCCAAAAGTTTCTTAGCGATCGCAGTGCGTCCCAGCAACTTCCGCTCTGGAACGCACACACTTTTGGTGTGAACAAGCCCTGATAAGAAAGGGGTCGATGTTCTTCCACCTCATTATCCTCAAAATTATACCATTTTAATGGGGCAATCATATATTGCCCCATTAAAATCTTGCCAGGGGCTCATTTACCTTACAGCCGAATTTTTCCATGATCTGAACCTGAACTGGACACATTATGCCAGTAGAATGAAGAAAAAGGTTTTATCCGCCCCTCCAAATCTTCTACAGGAGTAGGCATCTTCTTCATAGAAAAGAAGGATTGTTCCTTATGGCCTTGTGTGGACTACAGAGAACTAAACAAGATCACTGTTAAGAATAGTTATCTGTTGCCACTAGTTACTTAACGTTTTCAACGATTTAGAACCGCCAAAATCTTCACCAAATTAAACCTTCGAGGAGCTCACAACCAGAGCTGGCGCCGGTGGGGGGGCGGTAAAATTGTATCACCCGGCCAGCAGACAGATGGCCTCAAAGAGCCAGATGCAGCGTAATGGCTCAGTGTAATGTCAGATCCGCCCCTGCCCCCTGTGAGTTTAAGCTGCACTGTGTTGTTATCTGTGAGCCCTGTCATGTCCCTTCTCCTGAGTGTCTCACTGCAATTCCTCCCGGCTGCTGTCTCTGAACTGTCTCCTGCTCCAAGCTGCAGGTATGGGGAAAGAGGGGGGAGGGGGAGAGAGAGAGAGAAAGAGAGAGAGAGAGAGAGAGAGAGAGAGAGAGAGAGAGAGAATGTGTGTGTGTACACCGGATCGCATTCTGGCCAGCTCCCCGCATTCTGGCCACCTCACTGCATTCCCTGTAGCGGTGCATTCCAGTCGATGGCACTGCAGCCACACACCCCTGCCCACAGTGCAACCGCCCGCACCAGAATGCGTGGAACATTAATGCCTGCGTTCCGCTCCAGTACGATCACAAAAAATAGTGCATGCAGCATTTTTTCCATCACACTGGACCGGAAAGCAGGCATTGATGTGCCATGCATTCTGGTGCGAGCGATCGCACTGCAGGCGGCTGGGTGTGGCTGCTGTGCCATTGACTTGAATGCACCGCTACAACCCCTCCCGCCCCAGAATGCAGGGAGCCAGCATGCGATCCAGTTTGTTCCAGCAGCTAAACGTGCTGGAACGCACTGGAGCTGGTGTGAACAAGCCCTGAATGCTGCTCTATACTCTGCATTGATCTGACACTTCTGCCCCTGCCTGCTGCTATCTGCCACATCTTCCCCTGCTGTGATCCTCCACATCTGCCCCTGCTGAGACCCTCCACATCTGCCCCTGCTGAGACCCTCCACATCTGCCCTACTGACACCCTCTGCATCTGCCCCTGCTGTGATCCTCCACATCTGCCCCTGCTGCGATCCTCCACATCTGCCTGTGCTGAGACCCTCCGCCCAAGACATCAGGCCAGCACCCTCGAGCAGAGTGGTAGCAAAGAGTATGTAGTAAATTCATATATGTACTATTATGTATTGCTCTGTAATGTATTGCTAGGATTTGTAGTCCTCTATAGCCGATGGTATTCTGCATTGTTGTGCACTGTATTGCTGGGATTTGTAGTCCTCTATAGCTGATGCCATTCTGCATTGCTGTATAATGTTTTGCTGGGATTTGTAGTCCTCCAAAGCTGACGGAATTATTCTTCAGTGGCAGAACTACCTGGGTCTCAGTGATTGCAGCTGCAACCGGGCCCTGGTTCTCCATGACTGTCCTAAAAAAAGGGATCGGTAATCGGTATCGGTGAGTATCAGTGAGGAAAATTATCGGTACTCAAACTCAGCCTAGAAAACATGGTATCGGTGCATTCATCCTCCTATTCATGCCCATACCGAGGTACAGACAGGTAGTAAGGAGGCAGAGTTATTGGACTACAAGTGCGGTGCATAGGTAGCCATCTGAGGGCGCCGGGACCTGTGTAGGCAAAAATCCTTGCTGCGGCCCTGCCTACAACCTGGTCAGGATCAGAGAGGGTCATGAGTGGAAAACAGCTTTTCACACTAGATTCGGACATTTTGAATATCTGTTGATGTCCTTTGGGCTGTACAATGCCCCCGCAACATTCCAACACTTTGTAAATTACATCTTTAGAGACTACTTGGACTTGTTTATGATTGTATACTTCGATGATATCCTTATTTTCTCTCCTTCCACTGAGCTGCATCGTGACCATATCAAAAAGATCCTCGAGCACTTGAGGGAACATAAACTTTATGTGAAAGCCAAAAAGTGTGAATTTGAGAAAGAAATCATTCATTTCCTGGGTTTGGTTATTTCCACCTCTGGGATTTCTATGTACCCCCAGAAAGTCAGTGCAATTCTTGACTGGCCTGTACCAAAAGACAGGAAAGCTGTTCAACGCTTTGTGGGGTCTGCAAACTTCTATCGCTATAGACTTCTTGTCCAACAGAAAAGAATTATGATGAGGGTGATTGTGAATTGCTGGCGATTAAGTCTGCCTTAGAAGAATGGCGCTACCTCCTGAAGGGTGCAACTCATTCATTTCTAAGCTTTACCAATCACAAGAACCTTGAATACCTCCAGACAACTTAACATTTGAAACCTCGTCAGGCCAGACGGGCTGACAAGGTTTCCAAGAACTCCAAACCAGATGCCCTATCTCGCATGTTTTCTGAAGATGAAGAGACTTGCCATCCAGATACGATTCCTATCATTCGCAGACCAACAGACAAACAGAATGCACATATCAGAAGTTGGAACAGTACCTTCAATGTTTTTCTTCATATGCACAGGACGATTGGGCTTTACTGCTCCCTCTGGCAGAGTACGCCTAAAGGGAACACGCATCGGCGCACAAACGTGCACACACGTTGTCAGCTATGTGTTCCTGCATTCCTGCTTCCCTGTGTATGAATCTGACTTGTGACCCTTGGACCTCGCTTCTTGTCTCCTGATTTGACAAATCAAGGCTTTGCTAATATGTGCATGACCCTGACCTTGCTCCTGCCTGCTGCTCCGGTACCACTGCTACTCAGCCCTCCTGTGTATGACCTCGGCTACTGCTCTGACTCTGCTTCTGGCCATCTACCTGGATCCTGTCTACTCTGCTATCCGGTGTGTGCTCATCTGGTCACCCTCAGCACGACGCTTCCTAGCTCCAGCTTCCAGGGGTTCTCCAAGTTACCAGATCCCTGCAGACTCGCCTGCTCCTTGCTCTACCTAGAGCATCTGCGGCTTCTGCACAAGACCTGGCCCAGTTGTCAGCACAGACGTCTGTGCCACTCTGCGTTCCCACATTATCTTTCTCCGTCTCCAGAGGTGTGGGGCAAGAGGTGCACGGGTAGCCCCTTGTCTACTTGATATCCAGCTAAGTACATGACACTGAATTAGAAATAAGCCCAAGGATTCGGGAGCCCTGGCGTGCTTTAAAACTCATGTGAATGTACAAATAGGCATGGCTAGGTGTCTGAATGTTATTGCTGCAGCATGTTAAGCACCATTATGGTATGGACCGGTTTACTGTCAGACAGTCAGATGTCATGTATAACAAGAATGATGACCATAAATAATTTTTACCTGGCAGTTCTCTGTCTTTAAATGGATCCTCTGTGTCAGTATTCTTCCACTTTGCATCACTTTCACACACAGGAGTTTCATATCTGCATTGAAATTAATTATAACAAATATCAGATGTTGTTCCCGGACTGTCCCTTGTAGGAGATGAAAGATAACTTACCGTGTAGATGTTCCTGGCAAGGGGCGCCCTGTATCTACTAGAACACACCAGCAATAACCAGTAGATTGGTGACACTGCACTGGCTTGTATAGTCCTCCTGGAGCACACTCTGGAATCACAATTCCCTCTCGTGGATTTTCTCTTGCCTCTTCCAGAGCGCTTTGCCTCTCTTGGTCACAGGAGTTCACTTTTTCTGATAAAAAAATCCATAAGTCACATACAGGCAGTAAGGGATATG